CCATGGTCTAGGGCAAAAACGGCCATATTTAGATACCCTCAGTCAGTGGCCTAAGTAGTGGGATCTTTCAGTAGTTCCTGTTAAAGTACAAGTGTCTCACATTATTTTTGAATTTCCTTCAGTTTCGAAAGCAATTTTTATTGTGATACAATAAAATGTGAGAAATGTCAGAACAAAATCCATTGAGGGCTAATATGTTTAATATATAATAAAGTCATAAAATTGTAGAATAGGACAGGGCTACTGAAAACAACGTCCAACTTCCTGCTTAGTACAGGAATCCAAATTAAAATCTCCCTAACAAATGGCTGATTACTACCCACATGCTAGGAGTTTATCACTTCTTTGGTACAATAATTAGTTACATTGTTAAGTTGTTAATATTCAGAAATTTTAGTATTCAGTTGAAAGTTGCATCCTGTAGCTTAAATCCATTCTTTTCTGTCTGGCATGCTGGATATTTACTATGTGAACAAAAAGAAGAGAAGCATTAACTACATATATAAAATAAAACAAAATAGAAATTAAAAAGGGTAGAAGAGTAAAAGTAAATGGTAAAATGAACAGGTAAAAAATGAAATTGATGAATATGAAACAAAAACCAGTTCAGCAGATTAAACTATTTAACATGCGGAGTAGTTTTGATCAAACTTTGCTTTGCATATTGTTGATTAAAAAAACCAGTTCATATATAGAAACACGTGAACGTATATCTTCAGTCCCAGTTCAAATCTGGTATAGCAGGATCAGAAAAAAAAAATCCTTTCATTTTTTCAGTCCCAGACCATGCAAAATCCAGTTCTTTGTTCTTTGATATGTTTAGTTTGTATAATTTAACAACATATTCACATTTTTACCTCTGAATTCTCCTGGCACCATGTTGACAATTTTATGGATGGTAAATCAAAGTCCCAAGATAGGAGTCAACATGTCCTTCATAATATTACACTTTGAACATTCAGAATTGAAAGCCAATTTTTCTTAAATATGTTTAGGTAATTGCGCCATAAGATGACAGGATAAAAATTTAATATTATTTAAAATTAATCATCCAATTTTTAAAATGGTATTCCAGTTCATTATGCAATGCACATTGCAAGCTTTCCATTTTCTACTTCTATCTTGTTCATACATTTTCGTTGTCATAAAAAAATAATTGTGACTTTGGAAAACCTCAAATCTTTTCTAAGTATATTGTTAATTTCATGTTAAGAATTTAGAATATTTGTGTGTTGTTAATGTACCAGGTTGACACTGGACGCTTGAAAAAAAAATTAATTTTGAAACATTGCCATTCAGCAGTTATTTAAAAAATCTACTCAAAAATTCATATGTGTTCTTAGATTCCTATTAACTTTCTTCACATCCTGGAATCTAAGTGCTTTACATACCTCTTACACTCTCAGATTCTTCAGCAGGAAGCTGTCACCTAATCAGCCATAGGCATCTTTTCAGAAAATGAGCTTATTACACTTCTGTAGCACACGGTCTCTTGGAACACATTTTTCTGCTCTTTTATCCTTAGTGAACTGCTCTCACAAACTTTGCATTTTTCCCATTTTCTTGCTTCGGATATAATTATATGAAATGTTATTTAATTAATCACTATATGTATATCCTACCTTTCTGCCTTGTTCAATGGGAGTCCTGAGGTCACACATAAATATGTTTCAAGCAAAATTAATTAAAAAACTTAAATCCCTATTAGCACAGTCCCTACCGCTACTCTAGTCGCCAATCAACAGAACTAGCTAGAAAGTAATACAGGGGAGTAGAATTTTTTTTAATTATTTGTGTCAAATGGAAAATTGAAACAAAACAAGATTTACTAGCATTGAAATATCATGGAGAAAACCAATAATGTTCTGGAAATTGAGGGTGAAGTTCAGGTATGAAGGTAAGTAGTTAGATATAAATTTTACTTTGGTAAACTTCAGGAGTATATAAAAATGAACTGTATGCTTTGTAGAAATACAGTCAAGGTAATATAGAATAGAGTATTTAATTAAAGGATTAATAGGGTATTTAATTTTTAAATATTCTAGAACAGAGGTCCCCAACCCCTGGGCTGTGGCCCACTACCAGGCCTTGAGCCGTTCGGAACTGGGCCACAGAAGTGACGGGCGCACGCGTGCATCTCCATTTGTGCGAGCAGTGGGCGCATGTGCTCACCACTTGTGCGGAACCATTCCCTCTCCCTCCCCACTGGTCCAGAAAGGTTGGGGAACTTTGGTCTAGAGCAGGGGCAGGCAACCTTGTCTCTTTTATGACTCATGGACTTCAACTCCCAGAATTCCTGAGCCAGCATAGTTGAAGTCCACGAGTCATAAAAGAGACAAGGTTGCCTACCCCTGCTCTAGAGGGTACTTAAACAGCTGTGCTGGCACAGTGGTTAGAATGCAGTATTGCAGGCTAATTCTGCTGGCTGCTAGGAGTTCGATTCTGACTGGCTCAATGTTGACTCTGTCTTCCATCTTTCCGAGGTTGGTAAAATGAAGACCCAGATTTTTGGGGGCAATGTGCTGACTCTGTATACCGCTTAGAGAGGGCTGTAAAACACTATGAAGTGGTATATAAGTCTAAGCACTATTGCTATTGTTATTTTATCAGATCTGTATTTTTAATCTAGGTGGTTCTCTGAGGGATCAAGCAGGTTTATTATCCATCCTTTGTAGGGTACATAAACGAGATCAGCTACAACAGAGAGGATAAGAAAGGAAGATGCTTTGGCAATTACAGATGTTGTACAAGATAAAAAATGCTATGATGACAAATCAAAATTGTACCTTAATCACAAAGAGGGATGCTAAATACTCAAAACACTAGAGTGATGTTAAAGTCAGTAATGTCTAGACTGGAAAAGGGGGAGGGAAGGCTGTCTTTATCTATGCAGAATGTGCTTCTTCTCTCACTTTTTGTCCCCCAAAGTCTAGACAAGGGTGGGGAACCTGTGACCCTCCAGATGTTGTTGAACTGCAACTTTTAGCTTCCCTCCTGTTGGCCAAGTTGACTGAGTGTATTGGAAATTAGACATCTGGAGGCTAAGGATACCCCACCCAGGCAAAGTTTGAGACTCATACACTTAATCTAGAATGGTGGAGAGAAAAGCCGCAGTTCTAAAAGCCCTGCCATGATCTTCAACTCTAATTGCTGGATGGAAAATGTATGTACTGTATGTGCTGATATTTGTGCAGGTGTATGTTATAGAACCAACATTTCAGAATAATGAAAATCCGTAGTTAATACAGCAATTGAGAATGATTGATCTTTACACAAAGCCGTGATTAATAGAATGAGGGAAACATTCTTCGTTGGTGGTCCTTTATCATCCCACGACACTAGCCAAGAATAATTATTTTTCCAACTGTACATTTTAATGCTATATTTTAATTATATAATGAAGCAATGTTGGTACTTTTCTAAATAGCTACGAGCTGATCATACATAAAGCATGCTACACTGAAAACTGAAATAACCCTTGAGTGTGCCTGGGCAGAGTGATAATCTAAAAGGAATGCAGGAGTGTAATTGGAAAAATAGAAGAATAGTTTAATAAAAGTCCAATTTATTTCCCTTGTGTATTTCTGTAGTTACATTTTCTTTGCCCAGACCATTATTTTTCTGTTACCCCTTCCTCCTCTGTCCAAATTCTAACAAGGCCTTCCCTTTCCACTACACTTTTTGTGAAGTTTGCCACCTCTCAACAATAAAATTCAGACATTTTTTTAAAATAAATAAATGCCTGTTTAAAATTCTACTTGGCTATTATCCGAATAATAATAACTCTGAATTATCCAACTGAAATATGTAATTTAAATTATAGCCAAACAAATTGAATAACAATTTTGAAATACTTTTCGGAGATTAACAGATCAGAAACAATTTAATGGTCTCTTTTATCATGAATTTCCATTGTTTGGCCCTAGCATGCACTTAGACTATAATAGAACTTGCAACAGAGACTGAAATTTGTCATAGAAGATAAGTCTTTAGACACTTGCTATCCATAGCTTTGCTAAGTAGTTTTCCTAATCTCTCTTTTATTAAAGCTATGTATGATGAATAGGAAAGACACGTCTTTTACAGAAAGGCATAATGAAGCTCTTTTAAAAACATTATCTTTCAGACAAATGCAAGGTTATGATCAGCTATTCTTTTGAAATAGTTTTAATGTATCTTTTCCAAACAAATCGTATTATGATTGTTTTAGCATATATCCAGTAGTAGTACATCAAGAATTCAGATTAATAAACTGGAAAGAATTAGCTATTGTGATGTTATGATATCTTTCCCCCAAAGAATAAAATGTGTCTTTCCTCTCTCTTCTTAAATATAATTCTGGATATTATTAGTATATTGCTGCAAAAGGATAACAGATCCATATAGGAAATAATTTTCCTAATATGCAAAGAGCTCGGTGCTGAATGAGTTACTTAAGTACTCTGTTATTAACAAAACATTGGACCATTAAAAGATAAAACCTTGTTTATCTTGGGTTGTTGTGCAGTATCACAACAAGGCCACTTGAGCTAAGCCGCTTTAGTCAAACAAAAGGATTTCCCCAAAGAATCGTTAAGTGTTGTAATTTCATTGTACTAGTGTAATTATTATTGCTCTAATTAAATTGATTAGGAATCACCATAATGCCTAAATGTATTTTGCATGCAGTTAAGCTACACCTTCAGTTTTACATTTGGTTATCAAAAATGTAAGTATTTATCTGTCTTAATCATGGATCCAACATTACCAGATGTTACCAAATTCCAAGAGTTGCTGGGAAGTAGACTATGAAATATGGCACTTGTGCTGTTTCTGATGTGGCCCATATTGAGTTTAAAAGTTCTTCCTTCATGAATTAGCCTTGGAAGTTTTCACTAATCACTTGATATTCTGCAGCAGGTATAGAATTTTCAGGTTTGGGTTTGGAATTGGTTGCTATTTGCTTAAAATTGAAATTTTGAATGACGTTCATACATCTCTTCTGTCCTTTCTTTCCAAAGAATGTCCAGAGTGGTGGGGCTTGGACTGCAGACAGAATATGTCTCTAACTGCTAAGTGCTCTTGCTGCTGCTCCATGAAAACTCTCATTGCTCCAGTTGACCTCAGGCAGCTATCGGAAAAAATCCTGCAAGGGCAGCCTCTCTTGATCAAGGTAACTTAATAGTATGGGGGGACCTGGCAGATGTTGGTAAACCTCTTGACAGATGAAAAGCATCTTTAATAAAAGCAATGTCATCCTTTTCTCATCAGACAGGACAGCATCGTTCTTATGCTGAAATGAAACATTTTCAGTCTCTCTACCCCGAATTGACAAATTTTGTGATACAAGAGGAGGCAGCTGAGTTATGGAGCAGCCCTTCCAAGCAGCAACCTCCATTTTCTCTTTTCTGGTACGTTTGAGCTGTTAGAGGTCCCCTGCCTTTCTAGAATTATCTCAACAGTAGCCCCAGCTGACAATCAGTGACGTAACTTTCAGGAGTCCTGAAGAGCAAGGAGTAGAGATGAGATGCAGGACTAGAAAAGAAATACAGTTGCTATCCCCATAATTTTCTTTTTTATTCTTTGAATTATCTTTTTTGATTGAAGTGGAGAAGTGGTCCTGTCAGTATGCTGATTTTTTTTAAAAAGGGAATTGAATCACATGCCTTGTTTTCCCCGAAAGTAAGGCCTACCCCCAAAATAAGCCCTAGTTTTGGGGTGAGGCACACACTTAAAAATAAAGCTAGGGCGGGGGTGGAGGTGTGGAGCTGCTCCATGCGCCCCACACCCACTTACCTTGCAGCCAGGCCTCTCCAGCCCACTTCTTCTGCGGCGTCTTCTGCAGCCAGGCCTGCATTTCGCAGTCACGGGGCTTTCTGGAAGGCTTCTGCAGCCGAGAACCGAGCTATGGATTCAATCCATTGAATTCATAGCTCAGTACTCGGCTGCATATGCCTTTCGGAAAGACCTGACTGCAAAATGCAGGCCGGAATGCAGCTGCAGAATGCAGCTGCCAGAAGAAGTGGACCAGCTGGGCAGGGCTATCAATACTGAAGGTGAGTATAAAAGACATCCCTTGAAAATAAGACCTGGTGACTTTTTTGGAGGCAAAAAAAAAATAAGACCCAGTCTTATTTTCGGGGAAACATGGGTACCAGTACCCGTGCTTCCCCGAAAATAAGCTCGGGTCTTAAATTTATTTTTGGTCCAAAAGACCCATTAGGGGTTATTTTAGGGGGATGTTTTATTTTTTTTATCATAAGGGCCAGCCCAGTTGGCGCCCCCCTCCGCAGCTGAAGAGTTTAGCTGAGGTGCGAAGTTGAATGCATGTTGCAAAACAATGGTGCGCCCCGAGTGAGGAAGTGTGAACTTTGAGGGGACGAGTATCTGTATTTCCACAGCTCATGCACAGAATTCACACCGCGCCTTCCCATTGGCGTTCAAGGAGGCTAATTGTGGTAAATACAAATCATTTTTTTGAAAAATAAAGGGACAGTCTACAATATTGATGATGAGTGTAAATGAAAAGGCAGTTTCCAAAGCCTTCCTCCCACTACTGAGGGAAACCTGAGTCACCTCCCAGAATGGGACGTCTCGGGATGCCCAGCTTTCTTTCCCATCCTTCCGCAGAGGAAGAGAAAGCCGGCAAAGCCCGCGGGGCAGAGCAAGGCCGCCTCCGGAGGCTGCTTTGGGGTGAGGGTGAAAGAGAGAAGCTGATGGTTGAGCCCCAGCCAGTCCCCACCCCCACCTGCCCGCTGGATTCCCCAGGGCAGGGATAGAAAAGGGGCAGCCTCTGCTTCCTCCAGCCCTGGCTTTCAGGCCACCTCGCAGCGGCAACACCGGCAGCAGGCAAGGTGGGGGGGGAGGCATGCAATCCGACCTGCCAAAAAACCTATGGTGGGACGAAGTGGGTGGGGTCTTAAGTAGGGCTTATTTTTGGGATAGGGCTTATATTAGGCCCAACCCCCCAAAATCAAGCTAGGTCTTATTTTGGGGGTAGGTCTTATTTTCGGGAAACACGGTATGAAACTCAACAAAATGATTGTTTCCTCTTATTCTGGAAAATGTCATACTTTAGAGGCTATACTAAGCCTATATAGTCGCTTATCCCCAATTTTTCTGAAAACAAAAAAAAAATCTTGAAAAAGTAAAAGGATTTTTCCTTCTCTGAATTTCTATTTCCCGCCCTAGGTTTTTACATCTTTAATCTGCCCCTGAGTGAATTTATTTTATTGTTTCCATTCTATCAAGTGTCCCTTTATCTAGTTTATTGACCCAAAGATGGAATTTTCATTTTTTTTTCTGGTTGTGGAAACTCTTAATTTTTTTTTTAAAAAGTTGTAGAACCCCAATCAAAAATCAAAGCTCTACTGATAAAAGATAGATTGCATTCAAATGACCTTTTTTCCCTCTTAATTTCTCCTGGAGTCCCATCAAGTTCTTGCAGGATCCTAAGTTCCACAGTTGAAAAGCCTTTTGCAAATATGTTGTTTGTTTGGAAGTTCAGTTCAGTGTTAAATTCCTTGTTACCTTGCACACCAGGTTTTTCCCTTCATATTTTGGAGTCTTCCAGTTGACGCGTTCTCTGGCAATCGGTTGGAAGAACGTGATGTTTTGCATAAATATTGCGTGACCGCAGTGGTTGATGCTTTGAGTCATATTTGGGCATTCCCTATATATGAAATACGGTGTTCCCTATCATCCAGTGCTGTATTTTTAATGAACTTATGATGGACAGTTTGGGTGCACAGTATCTCAGTATGAATCATGACAAGTCTCCACACTGGGATTTCTCATGTTTCCCTGCCCTCCATTTTCCTAGAATGATGAGTAAGTTAGGATTCCCAAAGCCTTTCCCATGTGGCTTTAGTTAATGCTGGATTAGGTGACGCCTTTCTTTGTTTTACTTCTTCAGCATTTAATTTTATAATAAGCCTAAGGGGTTTTTTCCCCCTCAGACAGAGACTTTAAGATTATATCTGATCTTAGGTAATACCAGTCTCCTGATTCCCTGCCTATATTATTTTCTTGGACAATATATATTATCTAAAGTTAGCTAAACAAGGTCCACTTTCTAATCCAAATGCTCATACCCACACATTGATATCTGATTTGTGTGTGACTTATGTGTGTTTTTCATGTCATATATGTTACATTAAGTCAGATATAGCCGTTTAGGATGGCAAACAGTGACTGTTTTGAAGTGCTTTAGGGCTCAGTAGCAATGCCATTGTGAGGTACCTGCTTTCTTTCTTATTCTCTAAAATGTTCCATAGGCAAAACCCTCAGAATAAATCTCAGATTCTGCAAGAAATTTTTCCCATCTTTTCTTCGCTGCTGTTTCCAAAGGACATTTCTCTAAAAAGCTGTTTCTTAATCCACCATCCACGACTTCAAGATAAGGTTGGTGTGTTTAATGTTAAAATATTTCTGCACTTCTTTTTATGCTTAGTTTCACATCAGGAACCTTAGGCTGAAAAAGAATGGTTTTTTAAAATCATTTGTATTCTGATTTATGTTTAAAAGGCTCTGATGATGCTTTACGCAGTAGCAAAAGTAGAAGGTCTCATGCCCTCAGATTAAGAATCAAAAAAAGATATGAGGTAGAAAGATAAGGAGAGAAAAGGGAGACACGTTCTCAGTGCTAACATTATTCTAAAAGGGTTGATGGGGAAGGAAATGGCTGCCCAGAGAGGGGCAGAAGTCATTGTCACCTTCAGGGCAGATAGTTCTGTTCTTCTTTCTCACAGAACTGTTATTTATCCTGTTTTCTGTGAGAAGAGAGGAAAAGTCTTTAGTCCAGTTGGTTATAGCAATAGGAAGAAGGAGATTCCAATGCTGGGCTGCTCATTTTTCTTATAAGGCAAATGGTTAAAACAAACAAACATAACTGAAACCCAATAAATAGCCAACTCTTCGAGACAGGTGGAATGTTACTGACCATTTGTTGCCGCTATTCAAACCTATAAGTAATGGTGTGACAAATTTGGTGTGTATTGCCACATGCATATAGAAAAGGGATGGTGCTCTGATTGCAACATTGTGCCTTCCATCTTGCAGATTTTGCTGTCCCAACGTCACTGGGTAGCATCAAGTTTTAGATCTACTTGGTTGACAAGATCCTTGAGAGATGGTTATGGGGATCTACTTTTTTTTTTTGGCTCTGGTTTGATGTTGCAGAGGAGCTCTACAGTAGAAACCATTATCTATGCCTTCAATTTCTCTGAATTCAATTTTATGTTTTCTTTCTTTCTAGTAAAACTATGAAAGGTTCTGGGAGATAATAAAATGAACAGTCCTTTTTTTTATTTTTCAGACATACAGACTGCAGAACACCTTTGTGGTAGGAAGTGGTCGGCTCAACTTATATGTTATTCCGTCTCTCTTGTGCAGAGAACACTGCAAGACATTGATGGTAGAGCTAGAAGCTGGAGATATTGGTGAGAATTGATACAGCAATAGGAGCTTATCCTACAAATGGCAAATGTAGCTGTAACTGTTGTAACTGTTATTGCTGGAAAAAAAAGCAAGCGATGGCTTGTAGCTCATGACATTTTGCCCTGCTAAATGCTTTAAGCTTTATAATGCAGCAACAGAGAAAATATATTCCACACCCTATCTGTTGGGAAAAACAATGAACTCTGTATACACTATGTGGTCTTCTAAATTGGCTTTCTACCCTAGAAAACTGCATTTGGCATTATAGGAAGTTTGTGTTGAGTCTGTTGCAGCAGCCAAAAGTCAAAGTGCTGTTTATGGGAAGGCTACAATATAGTAAATAATATTTTTTCATTGCTGTACAAGGCTGGGCCAGACCAAACTTGATTGATCACTGCAGTTCAAAGAAGAGAATGTATAACTGCTTATGTATAAACATTATATTGAAATATAGCAAAAGTCAGGTAGGCAATGGGTGGGCAATCTTTTCAGGCAATGGCCATTTTTAAAAAATTACATGAACTTTTATCCTCAAAATCTCATACAAGAATGTTGGGGTTTTGGGCCATTTGGGGCTGAGTTGGGGTAAACTCAGGCTCTCTAGAGGTGTCATGGATGTACTAGTGTTTGTAGAATTTTGAAGTGGACTCTTGAGATTATTAGGTCTGTTTTACGGAAGCCACTTAATTAAATTGTTCCTACGAAAACATATGCTGAAATTATTTTTTTATACTTCCAAAGAAATCTTGCTGAAGACTTAACAAACTGATTATCTCTAAGCTGTGTCCTATTGTTAAGACCAGAACATATATATGGATAATTTACTGTTATATAAAATATTGATGGGTTTAGGACCACTAAGCACGGCCGGCTCACCACCACCACCAAGTCACCTCCGCCAACTCATTGCAGGACAACTCAGCTAATTTGCTATGGGGACAACTGGCCAGGAGCTTCCCACCAGAGGGAGAGCTGGGAGGGTAAGTGAGCAGGGGCCAGAGTGCAGAATGGCAGTGGCAATGGCCGGAGGCTTCCCATTTTCACACCCTCTGCTGCTGCCACAAGTTACGGGCCTTTTAGAGTTTGGGGTGTTTGGCAGTGGCAGCGGTGTTCGGGTCGTTAGTGGTGGTGGGCGGGATGAGTGGTAGAGAGGCGTTGGAGGCCGGGTAATGTCCCATTTTCACATCCCCCACTGCCACTGCTGCTGAACAGCCTGTGGCAGTGGGGTGTGTAAAAATGGGATGTGCCTGGCCTCCATCATCTCCTGGCTACCCCCCCAAATGGCCAGAACACCGCTACCGCTGCCGCTGCCAAACACCCCAAACTCTGAATGGCCTGGATCTTGACTTAGCGGCAACAGGGTGTGTGTGTAAATGGGAAGCTCCCAGCCATCGCTGCTCTGTGGTCTGCCCACCCACTCGCTTGCCCAGCCGCCTGGCTCTCCCTCTGGTGGGAAGCTCCCTGCTGTCGCCAGCAGTCTCCACTCTGCACAGTCACTTGCTTACCTGCCTGCAGCGAGTTGTCCCCACGCTGAACTGGCCATGATGAGTTGTCCCATGGATACTGGCAAGAAAGCTTGTTGAAATACTTGCACACCATGGAAATAGAGTGAAGGGATGTTTCAGGGCATCATTACCTCCAATAGCATACAATAATAAATCATAATAAACTAGTGTCATTGTTTTTCTTCCAAAGGTTTTACAAATGTAGATTATTGGACAACAAATTTTAACTCCAGAGGATCTGAACCCGTTGTTGTTTGTGATGGATCTGCCAGTTGAAAACTCAATATGTAAGACCTCAATATCACAAAAGATATGGGGATGATACCACTACAGTTTCCAGAGATACGTTTTCCCTTCTGGTCTGCGATGAAGAAAGCTGTGCACTTTTAAAAGAACATTTTATTCAAGGTCACTGGCTTGCCTTTCAGATGTTTTGGTAGAAACTGGAAGACCTCTTTTCTCTAGCTTTTTGTAGAATTATTCCTGAAAGCCGACTGACGGATTTTGTGGGGGAAAGGTCTGTGAATACTCTTTGTGAATATTGTTCTTTTTGACACTGTAGAAGGAGTCGTCTCAAAATACTTCTTTCCAGACATGCTGGAAGAGGTAACGTCAGAGCTGCTGATGAATCTGTCTCTGGATCATTGCTTTAAAAGAGCAAACTACTGAAATATTGGGTAGGCTGAGAAATTAAAAATGTCTCTTGAGAAAAGCATTTGCTCAGGTTCTTATCCTATGTTATAGTTTGAATGCAGGAATTTGGTCCACAGCTGCATTTTTTCTTTCTTTCACTGTATTATGATGACGCATCTTCAGAATATTCTTTCCAGTAAAAAAAAGAAATCGTCTTTCCACCTAAGAACACAGCGTGACTTTATGTAGTCATCACCAAAACTGTGTGGCTGAGGTGGGGTTTGTATACTTGACAGAGAAAAGCATCCTGCAAATATATTTTTCTTTCTCTTTTCATGAATACTTTCCCCTGGACTAAGTCAGTAGAATGCCAAATCCATCCCCCCCCAAAAAATGAGTAATAAGAACCAAATTTGTTAGAGCAATGACTTGGTGAGAATGGTGAGCATCCCCTTCTGAAAATTAAGCCTTTGGAGAGGGTCTGAGTTGGACATTCCAAATTAGTCATCATTTTAATTTGTTATCATGGTTGAATTGATCTTGGGAAAGCATGTCTTGAAAACATTTTCTAAAATTTTGGTTTGGATGTCTCCAGATCTTTTTAAATCGAGTTGGATATTTGTGGGCAGAGTTGCAGTGTGCAGTGTTTAACGTGTGCCATGAATATGCTTGCCATTCTCTACAAGCTTTCATTGTGTTTTCTCTTTCATTAGCATTGTCGGTGTTTGATTCTTGATTGCCTTCCCAGGTTTTTGCATTTCCTCATGGTTCTTGTGAGCTCATCTATCTAATATCTTTAGACGGGATTATTTTCCAGCACTGAAATTGTAGAGGTGTTTCCCTTGAGCGAATCTTTAGGTTCCTGTTGTGCTAAGACAATTTGCAGATGTGTCAGGCTGAAGCCAGGCCAGCAGTGAGGCTAGTGCGCATATTTGTACAAGTTTATATGCTTTGGGGGATTCTTTTATTAAAATGTAATAAAAGGAGAAGCAGCATTGCATTAATTTGTAAAGAAAACAGTTTTAAAGAATGGACTAGAATAATATCTTTGTTTTTAAAATATTTTGGTTAATTATTAATTGTTCAGCAGAGTAACAGTTAAAGGAGCCTGTCAGAATCACAATCCCGTTCTCATGGCATAGTGCAAATAGACAAATTTGTTTATTTCCTTCTGTTTCTGACTGGAAACATGCATAACTAATTGGGGTATTGAGGGACTAAATTATGACAATGAAATTAGTCTTATAGATGTTTAAAGGATTTGTAAATAAATAAATGATAGGACTATGAAATTTAGAAGGTGGGAACTAAATCTTCATCACTGAAGTTTAACTGCACGCTAAGTGTTTTCACCTTTTTTTAAAACAAATTTCACATATAATGTCACTTTAGGTTTGTATAGAAAAAAGAAACCTTTGTAATCTGGGCTAAGTATTTTAGTAAAGGTGTGTGTGTGTGTGTGTGTGTGCGTGTGCGTGTACACGATGATAGCTAGAAAAGTGGCAAATGTGTTGTTTGGTTTTTATTAATATTTTTATATCATTTTATATGAGAAGAAACCCCATTAAGTTTAATGGCACTTGTTTCTCAGAAGGCATGTATAGGTAATAGATGAAAAACCTCACTGTATATAAATATCCTAAGTGGAATTTCTTATTTGATATCTCTATAATCTGGGTGGTTTTTTTTTTTAAATGAAAAAGCTAGAAGGTTTCTAAATTCTTTTTCATTCATTCTTTTACCAAGGTTAAACACAGATCCATCTCTCCAGAGAATACTGCTCACTTTGAACTGCGTGTTGGTCATATTTTTAATTTTTATAAAAATAATTTAAAAGAAAAAAAATCCAAAGCATTTCAGATGACAAAGACCACTTAAATCTACAAAGTTATGGAAAGTTGTTTCTGCTTTGGTAGTGAAATATGTATATTTAAAAGATTTATGTCAGTGATACTCACTGTTTAATAATATGCTGGAAGGCAGGGAATTGATGTCAGTCTAAGGGTCTCTGGATAACAATTTTTTAAAAGTACAAATATTTCCATAGGATGGCTTGTTTTTTTTTCTTTCTGAAATACAAACTGGGATATTGTTAGCATGTTGGACAGGGAATAATGTATCTATCCTACTTTTGGACTCTGGTTTTCCATGTGTACTTTTGTCTTTGAGTTGGCTTCGAGGTCTGGGTTTAGGAGGTGCTGTGCGTATGTCCAAGTCTTATTCCCTCTGGAGTTTACATCATTTGTTTTCAAACTTCCAGTACATTTTCTCCTCCTCTTCTACAAGCTGCAAGGAATTAAAAGCAGAAGTAATTGCTCAAGAGGAATCCAAGATCCAAGTTCTCTGCTTTTTAGCTGATTAAGAGCATTTACTTCGATAAGATCCTCAGTTGTTTCATTTGGAATGCATACTACTATTGGAAGGCACCAGGCAGGCGAAGACTGTTTCAGAGCATATGGCAATGAATGAATATATATATTCATTGTTGCTATGTTTTCAGCACTTTTGCCACCCTGTTGCATGACATTGATAGTTTTGTTTTTTGTTTTTTGGCAGAAAATGCTTTAGATTTCCTGTCCGATATTCACTGTATATGTTGGTCAATCTGTTCTTTGCTTGTTTTGGAGAAACAGCCTAGCTGCTCTGTTGTGCTGCGGCGCTTATAAAGCTTACATTATATCCTGTAGGCACAGTCCTAAACTAGCATTGGTAGTTTGTTTCTCAGTTAGGTTCAGTGGCCAAGATGCAGACTTTGCTAGATACATAGCAATGAGCGAAATATTTGTCTTTGGGCAAACTGCATTGAATTGATGAACTGAAGTGATATAATGAGCAGCGTTCATTGAAGCTTGCCCTGTTGTCTAAACCCACTCACATCTGTGGATACTTGGTGTTCAGATCACTGCAGTTTTCCTCCTAGATTTCAGTTTTTAAACCCCAGGATTGAAGTATAACGAATTCCAACAACCTTCGTAAAATTTTGTAAACAATTTCAGGGAAATTGTAAGAGGGTTTCTGTTGCACACAGTAGAAATTCCAGATGGTCCTTAACTCTTGACTAGTCTTCCCCCCCCCAAAGCTATGTACGACCCATTTTTGAAGTCACAATGGCTGCATGCATAGACACTCTGCGGTCATGTGATTGCCTGTTGAGCACTTGGCAGCCGGGTTACTTTTACAGCCACTTGCAGCATCCCATGGTCATGTGACCACAATTTGCTATAGGTTTTTTTTTTTTGCTGGTTTTTGGCTTTTATTTCCAGTTTCTGGAAAAAGCCACCCGTTGGGGAAAATTAATTCATTTAACGACTGCTGCGTTTGCTTAATGAGTGCCACAAAAAATGTCAAAAAATTTGTTCCAGCCATGTTCATGCTTTGATTTACGACCTCAATGACTTACATCCATAATTCCAGGCTTAGTTATACTCTTAAGTTGAGGACTCTCTGTAATTATTCATATTTATAGGAGAGTTGGGTGTTTGAAAATACTGGCCATTTTTAAATCTATAAGTTTGGCAAAGCTTATGGTATAAATTAGGGGTGCATAGTGGACCTTTCTGGAGCCACTGTTTGCCTACAAAGAAAATCTTCACTAAAAATCTTCACTAAAAATCTTCAGCCAAAATTTGAACGGAAGGCATTTATATGTCAGAATATTTCTCTGATTTTCTTTGTTTCATTTATTAGGGAAATGTATAGCTTGACAAAGCCTGGAAGGGATGACTTTTTAAATAAACAAAATTATCTGTTCTTTTATTGACTAAGGGAAATACTCAAGTTTCTTGTTTTAAAGTGTGTTTTAATATTATTTGTCCATGCACAGAATAGCGATAATGTGTCTCATTGCTATATAGTATATTATAAAGGCTAAGGGGTGCCTGGGAAGTAGTTAATTGTGTGTGTATATTGAATACCCATATAGTCCAAAGTATGGAACTTTTCATATAAATGAATGTAAATATGCAATACATGCAGAGTTTTATGAACAATTATAGTAATATATTGCAACTTTTTGTAAATATTGGGAAATAGTTGTAAAGAGTGTAAATAAATCAGATTTATATGTTGAAAGTAGAGGTCAATTTTTACTTTTTGCAATTAAACATAATTGTTGATGCACTTTGCCCCATATGGCTTTTTTCCTTTGTTAAATAAATAATGTTTTATCAAAAGCCTCTGTGTATGTACGTACGCTGTATCATGAAGTATTTAAACTGGCATGGGGAAGTATGTTTTAGCAATATGCCATCTGCCAAGAAGGGAAAAAACAACTTAATTGCCAAAGAAATATGCTTACAGTATACTGCCAGACAGTCACAACTTATATATAGGTTATTTGGTTGCCTAATTTTGTCTACAACATGTGTGACTCTGGGATTTTTTGAATAAAGAGGAGGTTAGAAAAAGGAGGAAGAGCGCCTATTATGGACCCCTGGATGTGAAGAATATTTCCTGGAAAAATGTGATTTCCAAAACATGGGTGTCTTTGGGGAAGATATTTTGGAAATAGAAGAAGCCAGATACCATCCATCTTGGCATCACTGACATTTTTATGCAAGACTTAGAGATAATGAGAAGAAATCAATGTATGTCAACTAAGCTATTTATTTTGCTCACCTCTTGAAATATACAGTATAAGGTATTAATAGTATTGGACTGCCAGCAAATTTTAAAATATAAAATATAATGTTTTCAGATGCTACTGAAAAATGAGGCCCTAATTTTATAAGTCTTTATAAATTTAAAGTCACATTGAGCTTTTACCTGAGAAACTATGAGGATTCAATGCAAACTTTGAAACCATAGTGTATCCTTTTGTTGATGTGCCACAAGGCAAGAGAGTACATTATTACATTTAGTTCCAACTAAGATTTCTAATCATCAAAGTGATCTCTTGTGATAGTGATTATGCTAATCTAAACACAAAAGTTATGCATTATTATCATCACTAGATATGAATTGAGCACACATGAATACTATACAACCTTCTCCCACATGGAACAAGTGAACTTCATTGTAACCTGAATTTTCAGTGCACACGATTAAATTCATGTTATGAAGATGGACTAACATATTTTGTAAGCATCACTAAAATGGGTAAGGCTAAATACATGGAAACATCGGTGTGCATTCACTTCCTAATCAATGAGGATTAAATTCTGCCCTGCTTCCTGCTTCCAAATCTGAAGAAACATCTGTC